AATTTTTTTGTTGAGAAACAAAGTGTAAGATGGATCTTATTCAGGTTGCCAATATACCAGAAAGTCTGAAAGGTCATTGTTGAGGTACTTCAAAATCCAGGATATTTTCTGTCAAAAGTGTGCACACCAGAGCTAGACAATGAATAACAAACTTGACTGGAACTGAAACAAATCCTTCTGAAGGAAATGATGTGCCTGTGCAACTAACAATATAGATAAAACAGGAGCCACAATATCTGGAACATGGGGAATAGGATCAGGGCATGAATGAATGAATTCCAGTACAGGGAATTAGGAAAAAAAATTGAAAGTCTGAGAACTGGTTGGAAGGATAAGAAATTAGGAATATACATGAGCTACAACAACTTTTCTTGCTTATACTACCAAATAATGTGTCTGAAGTAGGACAATTTGAGCCTGATCATTTGTGCCTCGAGCAAGAACTTGCACTGATTTCTTCAATGGTCTATCGCTTTCTTTTCTTGTCTGTTCACGGTCTTCTCAGGAGTCTTCTCCAACCCCAAAATCCAAAAGTGTCAATAACTCTTCCTCTCCTGCTTCTCCAAAGTCCAACTTTTGCTTCCATAGAGGGTCACAGGGAATACCATGGCTTGCATGACTGACCCATAAAAAAATAATATATCCCCATGACATGGATTGGAAGACCTTTGAGAAAGACTTTATATTTGGTTAAAGCATTTATTTCCTGTTCTTGCGTGGCTTCAAAACATTAAAAGGGGCAATGCTTACCGTATTAAAAAAAAGAAGAAGAAGAAGATGCAGAAAAGATTGAGGGGGGGAACCCCAAGAATACACGTAGTTACAAATTCTTGATGTTACACAGACCTTTCATAGTTGGCTTCACACAGATGCAGTCTTGAAAGGGCTGTTATGTAGCCCAGAGATGATGTTGGGCTACTCTGTCCGGCTGAAACGAAGAGGGGGAGATCCAGATGTCTGGTCTCTCAGCTGAGTGGACAGGTCTCCCCTCTTTGCCTCCACCTGGAGAGGCAGAGCTTGGAGAATCTTGCTCCCCGTGTGTGTGAGATGAGAAGGAACGCATGTCGGTCGTTCCCCCACAGGTTTTCCATATATGGAAAAGTGAAAGCAAAGCTCTCCGCAAACAGACTGAAAGGGTTCAGGCATGGCTCAAAGAACAAATCCAACACACTGCTTTGGGCAGTGTGCAAACCCAGCCATTATACATGATAAAACCATGGCTTATGGATTAATGTTGTGCAAACCAGGCCAGTATCATCTTTAAGCTGTGGTTAAAGAAACCTGATTTATTATGATGCACAAGTGCTGTCATTGTCTATTTTTCTGCAGCCCTCCCAAAGACCAAGTTATTCTCAACATTTTAGGGAGGATCGGGTTTTGTGTGGTTTGAAAGGAGCCTTGCTTTAGGGATTCAACTTGGGATTTGAGGTTTAGTCAAATGCATAACCCTGCTTGACAGGCTGGTCCTCCTCTGCTAGATACAACTCTTTGAGTTAGAAGGTCCTTAAATGGGGAAAGACACATCCTATAGCTTCTTCCTCTCAGTGCCTATCTTCACCCATCCTGACCACAGATAAAAGAGAAGACCGGCCCTTGCTTGTCAGTTCAGGGCAGGGGGGACGTGGGGGGCCCAAGAAATCATGAGGGTAGCTGTGAAATCAAAGCTGCCATCTTGATTTTTTTTTACTCCTCTGCAGGAGCACCCTGGTTGAGTGTAACAGGCTGAATCCCCAGTACTGAACCCTTTACATTCATATTCTATGCTTAGAAAGATGATTGCAAATGTTTTTGTGGACTTGCTGTTCGATAATTTTAGATTCTGTTTGAATGCAGTGGTGATATTCTTAGCAAGGATCTACAAATGGAGGGAGAAATCTTGTCTGTGCCATTTCACTTGTTTCCGAGAAAGGCTGCTAAACATTTAGGATGAGGTGAACATAGAAAAATAGAATCAGTCCTTTGTTCCTGGGCATGTTTAAATTTAAACGTACTAGGTGGGGAGTAAGGAGGGGCAGTGCGGTATTCAGGCTTAAAGGGTTGCACTGATTTTGGTTTCTCTGTTGTGGTTTCTGGGTTAGGGTAGAGTTTGAATGCAATAAGAAGCTTATTTTGTGCACTGACTCGTGCAGTTCTGGGCCACTATACAAATCTTTGTAGGCCAATCACTTTGCTGATGCTGACAATGGAATGTAGATCCTTTGGACCTCATTTGTGCTGAAAACGATGGTGTGGACTACCACAAGCACAACCGTCTTCTGCATCATTGCATTCCTTCCTGTTGGCCTGATAGAGTTCTTAGACTCCGTGCTTTGATCCATTCAAGCTCCAGGAGAAAAGGAAGAACCCACCCACCATCTTTCCTTCCAGTGCCACCCAGAAGGTTCCCAAGACTTGTCATCCATACGTCATTAAGGTTTTGCCTTTTGCCAAAGGGTTCTTTGTGCTGCTGATTTCTTGTGCCATCAAAGACTTCCAGGAAAAGGCACAGCCTGATAGAAATGGCACATGCCCATCTTTTAATTCTTTAAGTCCGCTAAACTGATTCCGCACAATTGCTTGTGGGGCTTTGCAGAATCAAGCAATTAGGTTCTTGAAATGATAGATGTGCTTCCAACTGGTTTGGTTCCAGAGTCCTTGACTAAAACTATTTACGTTTCATTTCTGGAATAAATTTTCCAGTTACACAGTTGTATAAACCTGGCACCTTCTATCTTTAGTTGCATTTTTGTTAATCCCTGCTTCCGCAGCCCCAGAATGTGGCCATTTTTAGTTTATCCCAAGTGTAAGAAGGTGGGTTTGGACTTCTAAATCTTGCCTCTGCTAATGCCCATCATTGGAGGCATAATTGGGTAGGTTCTCAGCAGTCAAGAAGACCAGGTGTTTCCTTGTACATGGAGACCAGGCGTTTCCTTGAAAGATACCCGAAAAGGAAGGAAATGCTCGGTCTTCATGTACAAGAAGGTTCTACCTGGCTTCTGTCCATTCTAGCCATGCCAGGGTGGCTTGCCCTACTTCCTTTGGGCTCAACCAAGGAAAGCTTCCAGTGGGTTGCTGCAGTGCCCATAAAATTGTGGGATGGGCACTCCCTTGGAGCCGAGAAGAGATTTGTGGCCTTCTTTCAGTAACGACCTGATTGAATCCCCCCGCAACTATTCAGGTCTTTTTAAAGGATGCACACAACTGCACTCTAGATATAAAAGATTATACAGTTTTGTTGTTAAACTATCTTTGTTGCTCACGCGATCTGTTCTTTGGTCTCCCCAGAGTGAGAGTCTCTGGATTAGATGTTGTGTTGGTTTTCCAGCCTGAATCGGTGCTGGCTTCTTGCTTTGGGAGTCCGATAGACCCTCAGGAGTTCATCTCCCTGGTTCTTCTCCCTTTGTACTTGTTGTTTATCCTTCTGTCTCACTGCTTTCTTCAGCACCTTCTTCTGCGTGCATCTGGAAAAACGTACATCTAAAGGCCTTTCCTCTGCATTCCCACCAGCCCTTCCTGATCTGGGCGAATCAGTTTTGCACGGGAGACGGTTTGGTGGCTTTCTTGAACCAGGTTGACCCCAGATTCTCTTCACAGTCATTCAGGTGTTGAAACTTGACCCCTCCAGTCTTAAGGTTCTTGAAAACGCACGGACAGTGGGGACCAAACAGTATCTAATGAGGAAGAAACAGCAAATTATTTTGGTAAATTGGTGGAGGTATCAGCAACATCCAGTTTGTGCTGAATAGACGCTGGGGAGTGACCTGTTGGGCTCCTGGAGCATGGGGGAGAGGCAGCTCTCAGTGTGTAAACAATGTTGGCTTAAAAAATAGATCTCTGGAAGGATGCCGCAGGCTCTCCTCTGCCCAAGGGATAAATGGGCCTTGGTCCCTTCTGTAGAGTTGTTATCCTCCGTCCTGTCAAGAAAGCTGAGCTACAAGCTGAGCTAGGTGCCAGCAGCTAGGTCCCCTTGGCTGATTTCATAAAAAGTAGGATTGGACCAGGTTAAGACTTGGATGGGGCACTACCAGGAAAGCCCATGGTTATAGGCTAGGTGGGAAGCTGAAGACCCACCCAGAAAGAAGGCAGTTGCTAACCACTTGGATTACACTGCCAAGGAGGGGGCTGTCTGTGGAGTCCCCCACGGTCAAGCTTGACTTACGGGAGCCTTCACCTCTATTCTCCATAAGGAAAGCTTTGGCAGACAGGGAAAGGATGCTGGTTCCTGCCCACCCCACCCTTTCATTTCTGCAGCTGAAAAAGAATGAATGGCACTCACTTGGGATATTTTTGTGGGGCACATTTATTTTCTCCCACCACCACACTCTTTGGAATGGCTTTCCAAGACGTACAAAGCGGGGCAAAGCCATCCTGGCCCTCAAGCCACATGGAACCGCTGGTGAGAAAAAGGCTCTGTCTGGAGGGCCGCGGGAGCTGTGGCACCCCAGATAGGCTGCTGCATTGGCATTGCCCTGTCGTGAAGCTGGAGGCCTTTCCATGATACTTTGGTCTCAGACTGGATCCTCTGGGGGGGCTAACACTCACCTGGACAGCTTCTCTGAACATGGGGGGCACATCTCTTGTTATCCTCTTTGCATCATAAGCTCCCTTGCAAATCCTTCGATTGAAAGCAAAATATCAACTGTTGCAGTAATGAAAATGAAACGCTGTGGCGTCTCACTGCTTCTGGCATTTGTGGCAGAGGTTTAAGGGGGCCTATAGATCACTAGAGGTCTTAAGCCCATCACTGGTAGACAAGATCTCTTTTGGGTTGTTTGTGGTGGATGGGAGGCTGGCCACAGGGTTGGACCAGCCCAAACTAAGTGCCTTTTAGTTTGTTAGTAATGCCCAGATAGCCCTGAGTGCCCAGACTGTCCTAGTTTGTTGGTCTGACCTCTCATTCTCCTCCTTCTCCTCCTTCTCTTCCTCCTCTTCTTCCTCCTCCTCTATCTTCTCCTCTATCTCCTCCTCCTCCCCCCTTCCTTCATTCCCCTTCTCCTTCTCCTTCTCTTCTTCTTTCTCAGTGTTTTGTTGGGAAAGGTGTTGGAACATGGCCGGCATGGAGCACAATCTCAGCCTGGCAGATGCCCTGAGCGAGCCACCACCACAGATTGAGGAGGAGGTGAAGCGGGATTTCATCGCCAGCCTGGAAGCAGAGAAGTTTGATGATGTGATCGGAGAAAAGGTTGGCAAGACAGACTATGTCCCTCTCCTAGATGACGACGACCCAGACGCCGGAAACCAGGAGGCCAAAGCCAAACCGCGTGCCGAGAACGTTCCCAGGGAGCGTAAGTGTCTGAACATGGCTGGGTGAAGGGCAGGCCGAGGGTGGCGTGGTCAAGAGCAGGAGAGGTCTGGTTCAGCCTTGTGATCCTGTCATGCTATCTAGAGAAACTGGCCAGAAGCCTGTCTGGGAATTTCCTTATTTCCTTTCTCCTGCGGGCACCTTCTCCTGGGCTGGAACGTGGAACGTTGCAGAAGCTCAGGAACAGAATAGGGATAGACGGCCTACAAATTTCTGATGGATCTACAGCAGTGTTTCTTGACCTCGGCCACTTTAAGAGGTGTTGGACTTCAACTCCCAGAATTCCCTAGCCAAGGTTGAGAAACACTGGCTTACTGGATCAACACCACCCACCCTACCTTACTGCATAAGGGTGCAAAAGATGGAAGGTCCTCCATATCCCCTGCCAGGATTACATCCGAGGCCGTATCTGCTTTGGAAGGCTTAAGAGACAAAATAGGTACCGTAAAGCCTTTCAGATATTTAAGGTCCCCAGTTTCCCCATTAGAAAAGTCAAGGTGGCAGCTGTGACCTTGTGATTGAATCCCTGCCCCTCTTTTACCTGGGTTGCATGCTTAGAAAGGGGGCGGAACTTCGGTCGCACAGCTGCAGCTTCCATCTTGATGTTTTAGACCCCCCTGCGCAGCAGCCTTGCTCCACAAATGCCTCCCTTTCTCTCTGTCCCGTACCCCACCTGATCGCTCCCGAGGTCACTTTCCTCCCTCTATGTTCAGGGCTAAAATGCTTTGCTTTTCTGGAATGTGGCCTGCCTAGAGGGTCGGTCTTCCTTGCCTGACTTCCCTAATCCATTCATGATGTACCTTTGACATTCTCTATGGCACAGAGGTTACATCGGGGCACACACAGACCTCTTTTGTCCCTGAAAAAGTAGCCCCTCAGCATCCTCAATCTCTTTTCCCCCACAAAGACTTTGAGCAGAGTGGCTCAGGATGCAGAGTCACAAGGCAGGGATGGACAGAGCTGGCAGCAGATCAGAGCTGCATTGCTCCGCCTCTTCTTCCTCTCTCCCTCTCACCAGCTCTGGAAGGACCAAGGAAGCTGCCCCCAGAGGGGCAGGCCGGTCTGGTACCAGGCTGGGCCCGCACATCTGGCATTTGCTCAATCATGGCTCATGGACCACGATCAAGCAAATGTGCCATAGAGAATGCCCAGCAGACCAGGGTGTTAGGGATGGGTTCATGCGTCCCGGTAAACCACGTGGTGCCTCGCATCGTCCATCGTTGGGGGGTGGGCAGGATTGCAAGAAACAAGACCAAAGGCAATGGCTGAGCCCCACCTTTTACATCTGTACTCCTCCTAAAGCTTCGTTTTTCCCACTTCCTGCAAAATTACGTACTGACCTAAACACAAAACAACTCAATTCCTTTTCCCGTTCCTAGGTGAGCTACTCGGAGCTCACGGCTGTCTTTCTACAAAGGGCTAAACTTCCTTAGTTTTAGCTACGTGGGGTGTGTGTGTGGTTTGTTGTGTTGCTTGAACCTGGTCTGTTCATTTAGCTTATAATTCAGGATATCAGTTGAACCCCAAAAATGGGTTAATTTTTCTGGGGTGAGTAAAAATACCTAGACCCCTCTTCCATTTCCTGTGTCTAGAATTTCTTCCGTTAGGCAATAAAGCTTGAAGCCCTGTTCCAAGGAACTGTTATTTACAGAGTCTCTCTTTAAAAGTAAACTGACATTGTGGGTTAGGATGTATAACCATCACCATCCGGGAAGGCAGGGGGAGAATGATGAACGGTATGTCGTGATGTTTGCAACACAAATTTCAGCCTTTTGTGCTTGCACTGCAATGCAGGTTTGGAAGGACGGAGCACGTGTTGTGATATCGCAACATGGGTTTTGTAACTTTGGGGCCATCCTGATTAGGGATAACCTTATGGAAGCCCAACTTCACACTGTCTTAAAGTGCCCAAATGGGAAAGTCTAAAGTTAATTTATGATAGTAAAACCAAGATTGAGCCCTTGGAGAAGGAAAAGGGAAGGATGCAAAATTCTGAAGGGTCTATCAAAGTTCTTGGAGCTCAGATCAACCGTGGTAACCTTCTAGACCAGTGTTTCTCAACCTCGGCGACTTTAAGACAGCAGCATGCTGGCTGGGGAATTCTGGGAGTTGAAGTCCACATGTCTTAAAGTTGCTGAGATTGAGAAACACTGGTGTAGATGTTCTGGAAGAGTTGGGCATCAAGGGCAGTTTTATGGTGGTTCTGCTCCTTCCTGGGTGGTGAGAGGAGAGAAGAGAAGTCATCCCGTTGAGTGTTTTTTGGGGGGTGCCCCAAGGATTAAAATCTGTTTTGCTGGTAATCCAGGCGTAAGGGAGAGATGAGTTCCTAGGAATGGGACTCAGAGGGTCCAGCATCACAATCAGCGAGGTTGCCATTTGAGCTGTTAGCTGCATGTGATAGCTGTCCTCCAGTATCAGAAGGGTGGCCCCAGAGAAGAAAGAGTGGGCTTCTTTTTGGCTGCCCCAGGGGCCAGGACCAGAACCAGCGGTTGGAGCTACAAAGGAGGAGGTTCGGGCTAGACCTCAGGAGGAACCTCCTGGCTTTACAGTCAGCCAGAGGAAAAGGCTGCCACGTGAAGTGGTGAGTTACCCTTCCCTAGAGGTCTTCAAGGCTGGGTGGCCATCTGTCAGAGATGCTGCAGTAGATCCTGCACTGACCAGGGGTGAGCTTTGGGTTTTGATCAGGAGGAAAATTGGCTGGCGCCATGGAGTTGCACTGCTGTTGCATCGGTGCTGGTTTGGTGGAGGAACCAATGTGAGGATTCCCCCCCCCCCCCTTGGCTTGGAAGATTTCTGGAATAATCTCTGAATTATTCTCCTCCTGGCCATTGCAGTTTATCAGTTTTGCTTGGAGGTCAAGAGGGGTGAGTGGTTGCAGAGACGTTGAGCAAGAGAGAAGGCTGGCCTAGGCAAGGAGCCGGCTCGGGCTGGTGATCTCATTCCTTTTAGACTCCCTGGCTCCGGAATTTTAGGAATGGTTTTCGTGCTTCTCTTTCCTCTTCCTTTTCCTCCTCCTTGAGGCAATCTAAAATGAACTTCTAAGGGGGAAAAAAACAGTATTTCCATGGGTGTAATTATCTGGCTTGCTCTGTTTCCTCCAGGCCCTGTCTTTTAATAAGATATAATAGCGCTGTAATTTAGCAAAGAAACTGTTGAGTGGATATATGGGGATATATTTAGTTCTGCTCTATGAACTCAGATGCTATTTGGGAGTAGGAATCTAAGGGCCGATAATTCCAGCATTTTTCCACAGCTCTGTCCCCTTTCCTGGGGAATATGGCTGTTATATTTTTTTTCTTAGCAACATGAGATTCTTTATCCCAGGGTCTTTATCTCCAGGGTGGGTAATCCTCATTCCGGTTTCTCCAGCGACAACACAGAGTCCCAGACTCCATTTTAAAGCGGCAGGGTTTTTTTGGGCTCTTGGGGAAAATCTCCTAAAATGGGACGTGATGCTTGTGGGAAGAGCGGAGGTTGGCCAAAAAGCCAAAATGGTGGTTGCAACTGTGCAATAAAGCTTTGCCCCCTTTTCTGACGCACCAAGCTTCATTGCACGGTCATCACCGCCATCTTGACTTTTTTGACCCCCTTCCCCATGGGCACGTGTCCTGTTAAAGAAGAAGGAGCATCCGAATCTGGAAATCCACTATCAGAGCTCCAGCGTAATATTCAGTGGACGGTGTGGGCTTTCGGCACCCTCAAAGTCCTGGTTGCATTCCCACGGTCGCTGCTGTTGCTGGAGGCAGAAGCGAAGCAGGAAAGAAGATGACGTCAGGCAGATGTCCTCCTGTCATCCCGGGCCTTTCTAGGGAAGGGAACTCGAGTGGCCGTTTGAAAGGCTGCACCCAAAGATCCGCTAGACTGACCCCCAAACAGCCAGCCCTGCCCCAGTCAGGTGTGTTCTAGGGAGCAAGACCACAGCCCCCATCATCCTCTGCCACTATCTCTTAACCTTGCAGAAGGCTGTAAAGAGCTGTTGGGCCAGGGCAAGTTTGCAGCCCGAAGTTGGCTGCATCGGAGGAGAACGGTCGGGGCGCCTGGTTTTCGCTTCGTGCTTTCGTTGTTCTGGTGGCATTTTGGTTTTGGGCCGCTGCTGTGAGCTGCCCAGAGCTGCGTCTCTTCCAATGAGCCGCCCGGGTGGCTCTTTTAAACAAACGAATAAAGAAACACACATTTCCAGGAGATGACTCTTCTCCTGTTGGAAAAAAAGGCCTTCGGTTTCGCTAGAAGCCGGCTGAATTTACGGACTTTCTTCTTCCCCTGCATCCCTGAATCTTCGCTACGTGTTTTGCTCGGATTTCGTTTTTCCCCAAGAGGCTAATCCGGGGCCGGCCAGCTGCTTTCACGCAGCGGCCGGTGGCATCACAGTTTGGCAGGTTTGGGCTAATCCTCTTAGCCCACCCCTTACGTAATGCCCGAGGGATTTGTTTGCAGAGCGCGCTAAGCTTTCCTCTTGCTTCTGCCAGCCCTGGGGGTACGTTTGAGCTCCGAGCCCCGGCCTCCGATGGAAGAGCATCGCCGTGCCCATGACACAGGTGACTTAAGTCATGGCATTTGCACAGTGACGTCACGGTCACTTGCTCTCCTGGCGGGCACGGAGGGCTCGAAAGCAGAAGACCCAGGCGTTTATTTCCGCCTCATTCCTTTAAATGGGAAGCTGCATGAGAAGAGAATGGGGTTCCGCTAAGAAGACATGTCAAGCCTCCACGTTGTATTATGCCCCCTTTCCTTCAGGAGCTCAAAGCGGGGTACTTCCCTCCTCCTGTTTCCCTCCTCAACAACAACCCTGCTTGGTAGGCCGGGCTGAGAGAGAACCACTGGCCCAGAGGCCACTCCGGACGCTTCTGTGGCTAAGGGTGATCCTGGGTGCCAGCCTGGCACGTGCACCTGGGTGCCAGCCTGGCACGTGGAGGTTTTTGCAGGGGGGGGTGTTCCTTCTTGCAAAGAGGGTGTTGAGCCTTTCTCTTCTTTGCTAGAGTCTCTTTTGAAATAAACTCTTCAACCCCCCTCACCCCCCATATATTGGTACCAAACCGTAGGAGAATGAAAAGTCTCGAATGCCCACCACCAAGGGAGGCTGGGGGCATTTTCTCACAGGTCTGCTTTCTTGCAGCAGAAGGCACCGCTGAAGGCTGAAAAACCCACCAAGGCCTGACATGCCTTTCTGTTGCTCCTCCTCCAACTGCGTGCCCCCCCCAAAAGACAACAGCCCAATTTTTTCTGCAAGTGTTTTGCTTTTCTGGCCGTCTTGCGTATGACTGCTGGATAGAGAAGAGAGCCTTTGTATACGGTAGAAGAGCCGAGGCAGGTTCCACAAAGTCTGCATTTCCCCATTGTTGTTCTCTGGGGAAGAAAGGGGGCTTTAAAAAGCCATCTGGAGCATCCATGGTCTGAGTGCCAGAGGATGAAAACATGGAAGCAGACATGACATTTCTCATATTCGGAGGAGGAGGAGGAGGAGGAGGAGGAGGAGGAGGAGGCAAAGACTCCTAGATCGGTTCTGTTTCAGAACATAAACCGGGCCTAAATGGCCCGCCTTCTCTTCCCCCATCCAACACTGGTATTTATTTACTAGTAATTCTTCCTGTTCTATTTTCCCCATTCTAAAATTGGTCTGAAAATCAGCGATTTGGGGCTGTTTCATTTTCAGGGTGATGAGGAGGAGCAGTTGACTTCCAGAGGCCTCTGAATTTAAATTTAGCAGAGGATTGATTGGGAGGGTGGCCAGGGAGTTTAACCAGGGAGACACACAGCCATGTCTGCAAGCCCTGGTAGGTCCAGAAAACGTTTTCCTGCAATTTCTTAGCTTCTGAATAATTTATTTTGCTTTTTCCTCTGCTTTGGTGAAAGTGAGGAATGCTATGTGAAGTGAAAGGTGAGCATCGTGGGACACACATTCTCTCCCGGATTGCACACTTTTGAATAGTTTTAAATATTAAAAGCCCTGCATATCTTTGTCCTCACTTCAGGTCTCTTGGCATGAATGCTTTATGAAGAAAGTGGTCAGAATTCAGTGCAATTCCTTGGGGGTAGCACATCTTGCATTCAGTTTCCAGGAAGTGAGAATTGCAGCATTATTTTTTCCAGGTGTGGTGGGGGGGTGTGCTGAAGCTGGACCAGAGCTGTTCTTGGGTTGAGGGAACCGAGAAACGCAGCCTCATTTCCAAGAGTGGGAACATGATTTCTTTAAAGGGAAGGAGGGAAGG